AAGTATGCTGTCCCACTATACACACAGCAAAGGCAGGCATTTGCTCCTACCACTAGGAGTAAAGGAAGAAGCCCTTCCTTACTCATCCACAGACAAAAGCAGAAGGCAAAATAACTACTCTAACACCAATCCCCATGTAGAAACCATTTCCTATGGAAACAAAAGATAATACATAGAAACCATTTCCTATGGAAACAAACAGATAATACAGACAGGGAAAGAGCTCTTGATGCTGGACAAATCCATCACACATGTATATCCTGCTCCCAAAGACAGCAGGAAGAAGGGCTGCTGAGCTGCTCCTCCTTCTGCTGAACACTCTTTGCCAGGATGCTGGAAAACACTGCGTGGGGTGACTGATGGCCCTACAGATAAATTTCCCCAGCCCATTCAAGTATGCACAGAATGAGATTCCTGATGCTGACAGGCCACTCTTCTAAAACCTGGAGGTGGATCTTTAAAAAAAAAAAAAAAAAAAAGTCAATAAAATTCTTTCATGGGACATGGTCAAAATACGAAGCTTCAGCCCCATAAACCAAGTACATTAAGGGGGAAGTGGAAAGGACAGTCCTTCCCCTTCTGCAAGGGGTTCCCATGCTGACCGAGCTCACAAGCGAGAGCATCACAGCAGATACAGCCCTTTTCTGTGACTCTGTTCAACATCAACCCAGAGTAACCTTTAGGACAACTGCAGGACTAAAAGGAGCACGAAGCCTTGCAGACTGGGACTAGAGAATCTAGACGAGCAGATAGGAAGGATCCTAGACAAGTCACACTTAAACAAGCATGGCTGAAAGGAGCACTGCTTAGCTCTACTTTTTGTGTGCAATCATTGTCCCTTAACAAACACTAGCAGGCTTGAAGTTCCAGCAACACAAAAGCTCTAAGAAAAACCACATTGGGATTGCTGAGATTCCACTGGTAATTTTAATGGTATGTGCTACATTTTTCCCCCTGCAACACTGCCAGAGGTTCCCTCGATGGATCTGCTCAGCTGAATTGCACTTCTAGGAGCTGGTCAACAATATATAGGGGTTAGATGGATGGGCACGTCGTGCACATTTGCTAAGTGCATTTCCAGCTCCTGATGGGAATTCCCAAGCAGATGTATTTCCAGTAAACAGGAAAAATACCAGAATAGCAAGTTACTGCTCTAACTTGCATTTGGTCAAAACCTGCTTCTATCTCCACTGCAAGATGTTTCCAACTCCTCTTCAGACACAAGCACGGACACGGGGAAAGCCAAGTGTTCAATTCTCTGGAGGGCCTTTATCATCCCTTTGTTGTGTCAGTAACGCTCAGTGCTGCACTTAGTAAGAGTGGCTTGACAGGTTTCAAATGAAGCCAAAGATTCATTAACAGGCAATACATTAGGGGAACACAACTACCAGCCACTCAAGTGTCCTTTATCAGCTCTGCAGGTCCTGGACAGCCTGTGAGCACCTTAAGGTCAGGATATTCCTTCAGCTTTTTGTGGGATAGGCCAAAAGAGCGAAAAATGAGTGCTCATACCAAAAAGAATAGATTTAGCCAACTTCAACATTTCTCCTCAAGTCATGCCATGTGTGTAAAATCACAGCTCTGACAAGGTGGTTTGGGTGCAGGTTGTTGGGTTTTTCTTAATTATTTGTTTTAAGAAGGTAAGCTGATCAACTTTAAACGGGATCCTTCATTCTGTCACCACTGTGAGCAGCCAACTTTGACATCATTAAAACACTGACATGCCTTTGGCTGCACAGGGAGAGTGCAATGTCACAATCTTAGAAGCATTGACTGATGTTAGCCCCAGAATATTTCTACTGGGTAAATATGACCATTTTGCAGATGTAGACCTGAGGCACAGTGAGAACGAAAGCATGGGATTTACAAACACATCACGCCTACAGCATTTTTCCTGTTACTGGGATCTGGAAAGAGCCGGCACGCACAGCAATCCAGCTGGAGAGGCTGCGCAAAGCTGCAGGAAGTCCAAAGCAGACTCAGAATTGTGATGCCACAAGGTTACTTTTCCTGCTTATTAGAGAGTACTTCAAGTCACGAAAACATGAGGGTTTTTTTCCTGAACTTCCTTCAAAGAAATGTACCTTCCCTTCAAACCCTCCATTTGCTTTTTCAGATCATCCAAGAAATATTCAACAGCGGGAATGAAGGGACCGCAAGGCAATACCACCAGATGTCCTGTATCAGCTTCCTCTAATGTGAATAGCCTAATGATACTGTGTTCCCATTAACATCAACTATTATAAAGTCAACGACTACATTAGTCGCTTTGTATTTTCAGTAACGGAAGCACAGGATAAATATAACTCCATTGTTTGGAAGGAAAATAAAGCACATAATCTAATGAACCATTTTGCAATAGCAGCAACAACACAAACAAGAAATGGGCAACAGGAGGGGCAAGCAGCTAGGAGCAGTCAAAACTTCAAAGGCAAATTCAGCATGGCTCTCCCAAAAGCCCATGTTCTTCAGCAGCATTCACATTTGGGAACTGGCATCACTGTTTCAAAGTCTCAGCTCCTCCTTCCCAACTGTGGATTTCTCCTATAAAAGAGCTCAGGCAAGGAGCCTTTTCAGTCTGCAGTATAAGAGCAAGGACTTATATGTTGCAAAAAAATAAAGCCAGAAATAACATTCCTCTAGAAATGTCTTAAGTCCATTTAAATTGCATCTACCAACAGCTATATATATATATATATATATATATATATATATATATATATATATAGTACATGCATATATACATATATAGTACTGCTCCTGAGGGGAGTCGGAATGCATTTAATTGGTACTGTTGCACCTAAACAGATCGACTAGCATACTGCTTTTTTAAGCTCTATCTTCAAATTCAAATGAAGCTAGTGACACAAGAGTGCTTTTCACAGCTGAAATATAGTTTAATTTTGCATAACAAATAGTCCTCAGTTCCGCCAAGTTTATTTGCCAATAAATTCATGATCTACGTGCCAGAAATAAAAAAATAAAGAGAAGAAAAACTGCCACACAACAAGCTCAGGGATTGCTGCATCCTGTCCACCTGAATGGAACAGCTGAATATAGTATTCAAAATACTGCAATGTTATCAAAATTATTTAGGATCTAAAGTAGAACGTTGTGCCAGCTTTCCTCTAACAATATTTTCACCCCAGATTTCCATAGGTTTTATCTTTTGTTTTGCAGATAACAAAAGAACACTTAAATGCTCAAGTGGGCCAATTAATTCTGAGCCAGTATTAGATCCACGGTGCTGAGCCTTGCAGAAGAATGGCTCAAAAGCTGAAACTCAAATCAACCACTCCAGAACATACTGTTGTTTTTTTTTAAACAGCCTAGAAAACCCTTTTTTTCCCTGAGTAAAAAGTCTTTCCTTTCAGTTCTTCAACTTTCCATCATTACTTTCTGAGTTAGGGAAATAGTGGCAAAAAAAAAAAAAAAAAAAATAAAACAATTTAAAAAAAATTACAAATTAAATAAATCATTTTTATACCAAAGATCTTTTAACCAAACAAACTTTCGTTGCCGAAAATCACAAGAACCAAAACCCAAGGGAGCAACTCATGAAAACAGGACTTGTCTTAGTTTAGTTTCAAATCCTAAAAATAGGGTTTTGGCAGTGGAGGAGGCTGGCTGTTCCACTTAGGGCTTTCACACTGTCAGCATCACTCACACCTTTCAAGATTATTGTCAGTTCCTTGCTGCCAAATAACCACTTGGAATAACCGTTCAGGAGGGAACCTGCTCAAAAACCTCTTTCTGTTGCTTACAAAACCCAAACACGCACAGAAGGAAGACACAAGGATGAATTCCCTACCTCCAGTTCCGTCTCCCTCCGATTGATTACATCTGTAGATTGATTGAGCTTTTCCAGCTCCCCCTGAAAAAGAAAGAAAATGCTGAATGTGTCTGAAGAAATCTGGGGGAAATGTTTCTGAGAACAGTCAGTTAGCATCCCCACAGAAAGCTCACAAGGGCCGTGGCTTACATATTTAATGAAAACAGGAAAACCTGAGGCACTTTGAACAACTTTGCCACCGGTCTTGTATTCTGCATCCTACAAGAAAAATAATCAGAGCAGCTCTACTGCTTTAATTCTAATAGGGCTGTGCATTTCCTTTTCTGGCCTATTGCTCACAATCAAAAATAAACGTCAAGTACAATAATTTCTGTCCTGTTCGTCAAGGTAGCCAACATCTGCTACTTTGCACAGATACTCCCAAATATATTAGCATCACATCGGTCTGATCACAGGAGATACAAGAAATACAAGGAAAACATCGTGCTCTAGATTTTAGCAAGCCTCTCTATAACACAACCAGTCAGTGGGACAGACGACGATGTTTATTAAGCCTGCCTTCGAGCCAACATTTTGATCTCTAACAGCAAAAGCAAAGGTATTAAATCCTCTGAATAAACACGTACTGGAGGTAAAAGTAGAGGAGCCCTCCCCCACTCTGCGGGGCTCCTCACGGCCAGCTGCGACGAGCCGCGGAGCCAGACCCAAAAATACCCGCCGTGCCCGCGGCACGCAGCAGATCGCGGTTTGCTTCGGGGGAGAAAAAATTCATCTGTGAAAACGCGACAGAATAAAAAGCCTCCCGAACGGCACTGACACAGAGGAAACGCCAGCTGCCATTACAGCTTCTCCTAAACAAAAACTAAAACGGCACGCCATCTCCTCCCGCACCCCGTTCCCATCCCCGCGTTTCGGGGTGCCGGCCCCACTCCGCAGCCAAGGTCACGGCCGACGGCAGCCGGGCAGGGGGCCGCACGCCGACAAAGAGCCGCCCCGAGCCGCTCGCGAATAGCGCCGCGTCCTCCCCGCGCGCGGGAAGGGCGCGGCCGGGGCTCCCTCACCTGGATGCGGGGATCCACCTCCTCCTCCTCGGGCCGCGGGGCCTCCTCGGCGGCACGGCCGCGCCTGCCCCCCGGCTCCATGGCGGCTCCCGCCCGCCGCTGCCCGCTCCGCTCCGGCTGCCGCTCGGCGGCCACCTCGGCGTGGCCCCGCCTCCGGGGAAACCCCTCCCTGCCCGCGGCCCCCCCCGGCCCTTTGTGCCTGGAGAAGGAAGGGAAAAGGATATTTCCCAATTCTTTCCTTTATTTTTATGCCCTTTATTTTATGTTATTTTTCTTTTGTCGTTCCTCCCTGCCCCGCCGGGCACAGCAGGCCCACGCACGTCCACTGCGCGGAGCCGAGATGAGCGATTTGAGGTGCTGGGGAAACCAACCACACCTCGCACCGCTCCTTTTGCCCCCTTCTTTTATTTCTCTCCTCTTTCTGCAGGCTCTGCTGGTGAACTTGCAGGAAAGAAAAGGCAAGAAAAATTGTGTGCTTCCAACAAACGACAAGCAGATTCCTATGGCGTGGCAGCTGAGCAAGAAACGGTTGCACCGACTGGGTGCTGCGGGACAGGCATCCTGACTGCACGTCCTTGCATTTCCCGTACAAAGCAGCCCCTTGCAGAAGCGCTGGGCCCCAGCAGCTCCTCCTCAAGCTTTCCTCAGGCCCGGCTGGGATCCCTTCTGGGGGAAATGCCGTTTTAAACACGAGGCTTCTCTTCCCTTCTCAAAGTAAAACCCGTACAGAGATTAATAGTCCTCCTTCCCTTTGGTGGATGACAGCTCATTTCAGATCAGTGGGGAACATCTCTGCCTTGAAAGTATCACTTCTTAATTTAACCCAATCTCTGTTACTCTCAGATATATGGTGTGATTTGGGGGTGGTTCTCTGCAGAGCTAGGAATTGGATTAGATGACCCTCATGGGTCCTTTCCAACTTGGGATAGTCTGTGATTATGTGATTTTAGAAGATTCCCCAGAGACAACAACAATAAATAAATAAATAAATAAATAAATAGCTCTTATTCTTGGTGACAGTGCTTCCTTTGACAGATGGAAAATCAAAAAAAAAAAAAAAAAAACAGCAAAGCACAAGAGGAGAAAAAATCATGTTCCTAAGGTGACAAAGGAGGGGGAAAAAAGTATTCAGGCTCTTCTAAACAAACTAAAGTCTGAGAGATGGGATGCCACCCAGACTAGTTTGAGCAGTGGGCCCAGGTGAACTCCATGAGGTTCAACAAATCCAAGTCTTGCACCTGGGTCATAGCAACCCTCACTATCAATGCAAGCTGAGGGATGTACGGATGGAGCACAGTCCTCCCTGGAAGGACCTGAGGGTACTGGTGGGTGGGAAGCTGGACATGAGGCAGCAATGTGCCCTCCCAGCTCAAACTGTATACTAGACTGCATCAAAAGAAGCATGGAAAGCAGAGTGAGGGAGGTGATCCTGCCCCTCTGCTCTGCACTGGTGAGGCCTCACCTGGAGCACTGTGTCCAGATGTGGAATGCATCATAGAAGAGAGACATGAACCTGTCGGAGCACATCCAGAGGAGGTCCACAAAGATGATCCCAGGGATGGAACAACTCCCTGTGAGGACAGGATGAGAGATCTGGGGCTGTTCAGCCTGAAGAAGAGAAGGCTCTGGGGAGACCTGAGAGCAGCCATTTCATATCTAAAGAGGCTTGTAAGAAGGAAGGGGACAGGCTCTTTAACACAGTCTGTTGTGATAGGACAAAGGGGAAATGGTTTCAAACTCAAAGAGTGGAGATTTAGATTGGATATAAGGAAGGTTTTCACATTAAGGGCAGTGAGGTACTGGCACAGGTTGCCCAGAGATGTGGTGGATGTGCCATCCCTGATGACATTCAAGTTCAGGCTGGACAGGGCTCTGAGCACCTGATGGAGCTTGTAGGCATCTCTGCTCATTGCAGGTGAGTTGGACTAGATGACCTCCAACGGTCCCTTCCAACTCAAACGATTCTTTGATTCTGTGCTTCTATGAAAGCAACTGAAAAAAAAAAAAAGCAACATAGAGAGGAAGAAGAGAGTGGCACAAACATTTGAAAAGATTATAAACATACAAAGTGACACCATCAAACCAAAATAATCAAGGAAAAGAGGAGGTGTTGCAAAAATGCAGATGGGCTGTTCACATCTTCATTTCTCACAGCAAAAGGAACCACGTAAAGAAAAATAAAACATCACCAGACCCCAGTGGCTCGTTTTTACTGATTGCCATTAAGGGAATTCAACGTGTACAAACAATGCAGAGCTCCAGAGTCCCAGGGTCTCTCATGTGGCTCATGTGGTTCAACATCCAAAGCTCTAGTCATCCTAGAAACCACAAAGAAGCTTATGGAAGGGTTAATCCTGGCAATCCTACTGTGGAAAACACAGCCGTGTAGAAGAGCTAGGGTAGCTTTGTTCCGTTTCTCCAAGACCCGGGTGGTCTGAGCCATTACACAAAAAGCACTGCTTGCTACTGAGGCACCAAAATGTTCCTACATGGGCTGTGCTCTTCCCAAGGGATTTCTCATGTCTGAGCGAGGACCCCATTCTTCCATTGCCACTGTGACAGCCCCAGAGATTATCAGAACTCAAATAAAATCAAGCCAAATCTATCAATCTGCTACCATTGTGTCAGAGCAAGCTGTTTCTCTCCTCTTTTGTGCTTGGAGTTAGTGTACTGGGAGAGCTGCCCGCACAGCTTGGCTTTGTGCAAGAGATGGTATGAATGCAGAGTCCCTTTCCCTGTGGCTCTGAAAGCTCACGTGCAGCCCCGAGGCTGCTGAGATTGGTTTGTATCAGACTAGTGCATCAAGGAGATTCATTTTCAAAAAATTGCTGAAGAATGCACAGATCACAAATTTGACATCACTAAGGCATAAACAGAAAAATGGCCTTGAGGGAGGAATTTAAAGAGAAAGGGAGACCACTCAGAATGCACGAATATCAATAAAAGACTCAATAATGTTATTTGCATCATTGGTTTTCTCTGTTCGCCACGAATTAGCTTTGACTGAAACCACTGTCTCATGCAATGGGCATAGAGCCCCAGGATTGTGCGAGCAGCCCTCCCGCACAGCATGTAGGCAGGGTCCATGCTCCACTTAAGCCAATACAGCACAAGACATCATCTGCAGATGATGGCATTTGGGTATTGCTTGAGTCATGAGTCATGAGTCATCTCATCCCAGCAAATCTCCTACATGATGTGTCAAAAGTAAGAAACTTCCCCCCAAAAAAGACAGCCAGTCATGCTGACCTTTTCACTTCCCTCACTGGCCCACCATGCACAAAGGCAGCTGAGTAAAGCCTGCATGGGTTTGACCAAGGCAGCCTGCGCACTTTCTCCTACATCAATATTTCAAGCCCTGGTCTGAAGCACTCAGTGTTTAACTATCAAGCAAGGTTGGGGCAGGAAGGAACAGAGCTCTCTTTCACTGATGGATTCCGGAGCAGCCACAGTGGGGGACCAGCACTGAATGATGAGGCCAGGCTGTGGCTCAACACAAGTTACTTTGGAGGTGGTACAGCTCATCTGAAAAGCACCAGTACAGGGAGAGCCACGGTCCAACTCACTTAAACAACTGCTTTAATCACACCAGGCAATGCTTCTGTGTTGTGCAACACAACAGTTGCTATTTGGGGCACAATCTTTATCATTAATGCTAGATGTGGAGCACAGAAACCTTTGGGTGAGGGCCACGTTCTGGCCAAACAGCAGTCTGGCTTTCAGGAGAAGCTGCTAGATAACCCGGTTTTTTGGTCCCACAGAAATCCTCAGAGTAAAGACAGCATTTGTCAGGGAAGAGCTGGAAACTTCAGCACGGGAGGAGTATGGAGAATTTTCTCCCTTGTTCTGAAGGATGTTTCGTAGACTAGGTATTACATCAGCTGATTAGACACTGGGGAAACAGAAGTCACATTTTAAATAAAATCAGCTGGGAAGAAGTATGTGTCAGTGAGGGACCACTTGGAAAAACATATTAATGACTGTAGTTAATTTAGCAGGGAAAAAAATATCCAAGTGAATGGATAGTGAAATTCTACATACGTCTGGTGATGGTATGTTTCCAACAGATTTCAAGGAAGGGTTGGGATGGGCTATTTTGTTGTTTTGATGTGTGGTATTTTTCTAGCCTATCTTACATTCAAATTTGTGCTTATACTGTCCTCAAAGCTTGCTTCTGCCCAAGCACTAGAGGGAAGAGCTTAAAACACAAATCAAAGCTGCATCTCCTTCCTCAGAAACAAGTTTTACTATCTCCTTTTTGAACACAGATAACATATTGAGCAAAGTTCAGGACTAACTGGCTCATATCTGATTACTGAAGACACATTCGTGGTTCCTGGAAAACCCTGTGGAGAAAAATTACTAAGACACAGCCTTGCTTACAGAATATTGCCTCTGTTTTCTCAAGGGGATTGGAAAAGTGGTTCTGCTCTGATAATTCTTCAGCTTCTGTTGGTTATGATGCCAGAGGCTCATTTCCCATTGGTCTCAAATATTGAAGCATCATTGCAATTTAAGTAAACTACCATCAAATAAACACAGAAGTATAAACAGTCCAATTCTAACAAAGTACATCCAACTTGGCTCTCAAAATACACTTATGGGCATAAAATCCTCTAAGTAACTGCTACAAACTGAACTAATCCTGAAGACTGCTTTACTAATTATACACACTAACTTTGACAACATTACACCATGTATTAGTTTAGCCCAGAGAGTTCTCACATAAAACAAAGTCACCATCTCTCTCTTCTGAACTGCAGCAAAGACACTGCTCTACCAGCTTTCAAGCCCCATATGCTTTGCTACTTCTCAGAAGTATATTGTGCATGTTGGAAACATTTTTTAAGCACTAAGTAGGATCTCGCCCACAACCCCAGTACATTTAAAGATCTGGTTCTCCAAGACTTAAATCTCACTGATAAGAGGCTAAGCCCATGCTTTGTACTTGAAGATACAGGCTGCATTTACTGAAGGTTTTAATACTCTGTGTATCCAAGGAATTTAAACACTTCAGAAGTGGTCTGGCTTTTTCTCAATCAAATTATCACAGTTCTATATTTCCAACGTTTGCAGCATGATCTCACTCTGCATTTTAGGAAGCGCTAAAAATCAAGCATTCTTTTTTACAGCAGCACATTATAATGCAATCACCTTACGAACTTGCACACAAACAGTGAACACAAAGATACATTAATGGGGCTTGAGCATAGCACACACACACACAAAAGTGCTATTCCACCTACAAGGAATGTATTTAAAGAAAACGCTACATCCCAAAACGCCATTTAGTTCACTTCTTTTTAACAAGCATCGCTTAAGGATGAATAAAAATACCCTTTAGTCATTCAAGGCTACAAAGAAGGGAGGCTGATTTAAAGAGGTACAGTCTACTTTCTAGCCATGCTTAGCCTAGAAACTTTCAAAAAAAAAAAAAAAAAAAAAAAGCTAAATATATGTTAACACAATTACCTTCTTGGTCAATTTATACTGGATATACTTTTGTATCCCTTTGTATTAGCTACTTTTCTAATTACCATGAAACCTGATCTGGATGATGCTTTATACAGAGCGTGAGTAAATATATATTTATATAAAATTTGCATAAGCGTTACTAAATATACAGTACATGACTAATAGCTCGATAGATGCTTGCTGCAGTTTCGTAGAGAATCACCTCCACCACAGGACTTTCTTCTCACCCAGTCTGTCCATGGCCAGGTGGGTGGTGTGGAATTTCCTACTGGAAACCCACCATCACAATAACACTGTGTCTCCAGAGAAGAAAAGGAGGCCCGCTGCCCAACTGCACAAAGTACAAAGTGTGCTGCTTTTACAGGTTTAGGAAATAGCACAGTAACATGAGACACCCTTACTTGTCATTCAGCACCAGATACAAAGAAAATCCTCTTTACGATATTTTATACTTTAACAGGGAAAACTCTACACTGCATTCTATTGAGTTGAACATATTCCCTGCCCTGCCATCTGCTGTTCTCGTTAAATAGCCTCCCATCAGTTTCAATGGGGACAGATCAAGTGCAAAGGTGTACATTTGTATGCAGAATAGAATTTTA